TTTTTTTTTTTTTTTTTTTTTTTTTTTGGCGAGTTCAGGTTGGGTTGGCTAGTCCTGATCAATTCTAGCTAATTTTTATTTTGTCATCTTATTACTCTATTTTGTTTCCCTATTTTTTTACTTTATTTTGTTACTCTATTTTATTTTGTTACTTTGTGTGTGTTTTCCCCGTGGGGGCAGTCTCATCTCGCGCGATTGGTTGGCGCCACCCGCGAAATTGAATCTTGCCCATTCTGTTTGCTTTCTCCATTTGCCTAAGGTGATTTGTGCGTTAACGTACGAGAGCTGCATACCAACGCAGTACATGAACAACTCCCACCTACAGTGTGTGTGTGTGTAACTATTCATACGCAGCTGTGCACCTCTAAGCATGTGTTCGCCTTTTTAATTTCCACGTGTGTAATATTTAAGCAGTTAAAATGAAGGCCATGTGGAAGATTTCTGTTTACCTTTCCCTTTGGAACATTTTAATTTACTTTAATTGTGCGAAGGTGACCAACTCCAATCAGGTAAAAACCAGTTTGAGAAATGGGTTTGGACAAACTGGGAACTTCACTGGTCATGGAGGGGTTGGAAGACATCAAAATGTGAAGAACCAGCATGGGGAGTTCTTCTCCGTACAGGGGAATGACGATGAGCAAGTGATTTCGGGCGAGACAGACGAAGCATCAGAATCAGCATCACCAGGAACAGGAAATACAAATGGAGCACCAGTAGGTAATGCAGGAGGTGATTCTAATGGAGGTCTCGGTGGATTCCCAGGTGGGGTTATTCAGGGAACGGATTTTCAAAGTGTGCTTTTTCCAATGACAGGTCGTCGAACTACAGCAGGTGGAAACAGTGGTACAGATAATGTTGGAGATGGAAATGGTTGGACGCCCCCATGAAAGCTTTGATTTCAGTGGTGGGGCCAGTGGTGTTGCACGAAGGTTTACGCACAAGCATACGCCAAAGAGAGAGCATTTGTAAAAACAAAAAAAAAAGAGACAGAGAGACACTCCCCGAATTACAACCATCCCAAACTCCGTTGCCTTATATTTATTTTCCAATTTAAATTTATAGGTAAAGGTGGACAGGGGCAAACGTCCAGTTTCAACTCTCAGGAGGTATCAACAGTCTTACCACCACCAGCAGAAGCATCCATCCCAGGATCACCGGGAGAAGGAGTAACAACAGAAGCAGTACAAACAGTACCAGAATCACCTGAAGCAGCATCACAAGGCTCAACAACACACCATTCTGGATCAGACTCTGCAGACGACGACTACTCATGGTTCGGGTATACTCCATGGGAAAATAGCACAACCGCATCAGGATCAGGACCAGAATCACCCTCGGATAATACAGGTAAGAAAAAGAAGAGAGGAAAAACAAGGAAAGGAATAAAGGAAGGAGGAGCACAACGAACAAGACCCATCCTTTTTTTCAACAATCTCCCCTAATCTCAAAAAAAAAAAAAAAAAAATGGAGAGAAAGAATGAACACAAATAACACATTGAACCTTCATCCTACCAACTTCAGAATCTAACATCTTAGAAGAAGTACAATTCAGTGAGACAGATAAGGATATCCATGAGAAGGAGGACGAAGTTGTGATGGAAAAGGAAGTGGAGGAAGGCGTGGAGCAGGAGGATATTGATGAAGGAGAAACGGAGGAAGGGGGAGAAGCTGACAACGCAAATCATGACGATGTGGATGTGGAAGAAGGCGATGAGGAAGTAGAGGACGAATATGACGAATCAGAATATTATCAACAAATGATAGACACGCAGTATGCGCAAGAAATGCCAACGGAGCAAAACAACTTTTCTGCGGGAACATATATACCTTTAATCAGCGAAGCCATGGTCCATAGTGCTCTTTCGGAACAGTACAAGGACAACGTGGAGGGTACGAAGGCAGCCCAAGCCTTCGTGAACACTTTGATGAATTTACTGGACGATGATAACAGCCCAGTCGACGAATCCATCAAGCATTTGGCTGACGACATTTCGCAATTCGTCCTCAAGTTGGACGCATAGGGTGTGTTGGCGATTGCACGTGCACACATGGGTTGGCGTGAGCAAATCGGTTGGCATAATTAGGCGCTTGACATAATTCAGCGCTTGGCGTAATTAAGCGTTTGGGCGATTTTCCCCAGTGGCGCATGAAAAAGCATGCTACCAATAATAGGCCCCAAATTTGTCACCCAACAAGTGATACACACATGATGAAAAAAAAAAAAAAAAAAAAAAATTTTTTTTACAAAACAATTGTTAGGTGAACAAATGTTAAAATGTTTTTTTTTTTTGTTTTTTTGATGAAAATAACTTTTGTAGGGGTTAATAAAATTTACTGCATGCGCTGGTTGGAACAAACCAATTCGGTTTTGTTTTCACTAAGAACAGCACACGTGGGTTGTAAAAAAAAAGAGAGAAATACAAAAAAAAAAAAAAAACAAACTCATCAATGCGATGATCAGACGGATATGTGTACCAATTAAATTGAGGTAATTTTGTTTTTTTTTTCCCCCTTTGTGTCATTCTGATGGGAAAAGCATTTCGTGCAATGCATGGGAGTTCAAGTTAGCATAAGTGCGTGTCTCGTGTGGATCATCCGTACTGAGCCCATTTGTAAAACCAGAAAATGGTTTTGCACACGACACATGGAAAAATGCGCTTATGTCCAACCGGGGTTGTAATCCATTTGGGGGGAGAATTAAAAATGAACAGCTGCTCGATTAAAAAAAGACAAAGTGGCTGAATAAGTTGCTCAATTTATTTTCACTTGACGGGATGGGCAGCAGTGCACTTTGTCTTAGCCTATATGGTGTATTTCCCAAGGGTGACCCTCCTCCCCTGTGGTATTTTTTTTTTTTATTAGTTTTTTCGCTCCATAATTAATCGCCTGTAATAATATCCTTTATGAGAACGTTCGATGGAGAGCTTCGAAGCGTTTTCATACGTGACAAGGAAAATGATCTGCCTGAAAGTTGCTCATCTATGCACTTGTTCGGTTGCGTCTAAGGTGTAAACATGGGGTGGGGGCGATCGATAAGAGTTACATTTGCTCCTCACGGGTTGTATGTAATTGGTCAGTCGTTCGAGCCGCATGCAAATTGCCCAACAGGGTAACCGTTCTCAGTGGGGCCGTTTTTCATGCAGGAATAAGGACGACGCGCACTTAAGGAGACGAATGTGCAGGAGATCGGCAGGAGGTTTTAACACAACTGATTTAGTCTGATCCGAATGAGGAACAAAAACGAAAATGTTTTTTTAATAAAAATTGTGCACCCAAAATGAGTGTCAAGTGAAGGACATACTTTTTTATGTGCAATTTTTGTAATAATCTTTTTTTTTTTTTTTTTAATTCAAAATGTGCGTTGTGGTACACTTGTCTTGAAGGGGTTGGCTAGTAATTTTTTTTTTTTTTTTCGGACTTTTTTTTCCACTTTTTTTTCTTTTCTCTTGCGCATGAATAGGACCCCAGAACTCTGTCAATAAGCCAGTTGCCATGTGAACATTGCACATGCCACACAACCATGTGTGGAAACAAAAAAAAAAATGTGTCTTGATTTAAGCGTCCCTTTTCCATTTGAACAGAAGAATATAATGTTTAAAGTATCATGTATTGTATTTTATTTGTTTCTCTTCCCCCTCCAGTTATGTAACGGAAGGAGAACACTGGACATACAGTCCGAATATGGGTGGAGTGGTTTAATTAGGGAGAATTCAAATTTAAGGAAAGGTTTTCTAATTAATGATTTATACGTGGATGGGTGGAGTCCCATTGTGGGCGTCGACATGGAAGGAGAAACAGACTCATCATCAGAAATTGATACAAGTGTAGACGCTCTGATGGGTAATGATACAGGGCAAAGCCAATATGGGGGTGAAATTACGAAATGGGATTTTCTTCAAAGTTTTGGTGACATAAAAAAGGAGGCACTCTTCCATAGAGCAACCCAACGGGAGAATAGTACCCCTCCTTTTCCTGGTCAGATTGACCATTCTAATTACAAGAAGGACGAGGCACGAAATTTAAAAAGACAAAATAAAGAACAACAGGGACAAAATACGAGCAAAGGGAATTCTCTACTTAGGTGTGAAGTTCATTCAGGCTGTGCTTGGCGTGGAAGCCACTGGTGCCGATGTGTGTATGGTAATTATGTGGTTCATTCTGATGGTCCATACGGAGGAAGGAAGAATCAGAGCAGGCGTGAGAAAGTGTCAACCGTTCGTGTTACCATCCCTGTACCTTTGTATCATCCTAGGGTTATTCATCAAGGAAGAAATTGTCCCCCAAAAGATGGCTTTAACGAAAATAAGTACCTAGACGGAGCCCATAATTTGTTGCAATTCCTAGTGGAGGGAAATTCTAGAAAAAAACAGAAAGCCAATAAACTTGCCTCTTGTGAGCGGAATGTGGAAGAGTTAAGTGAAAACTTTTTTAAAAAATTAATAAATGAAAAGAGGAAACGGGAGACAAGTGAAAACCACGAGGAGGAAGAGGAGGAGAAAGACGAGTCCTTTACGAATGAAGATGAATACAATTTAAGTGAGAACGACGGTGGTGATGAAACGCGAAGAAGTAAAAAGAGGACTACCAAGCGCAACACTAACTCTAATTGGGAACCAGGCGAAAATAAATGTAGCCAGAAAAAAAGTTTAGGACACAGAAAAAAAGTACCCAGCGATATTGCGACACCCAGATTCAGTATCAGATGCTACAACAACATTCAAAAAATAAAAAAAAAAACGACCAAAATATTGAAAAATATGCTCCATGCCTTGATGTTCGACCCTGATTATAAGGGCATCCTAGTCTACTTAACGACGGACGCGGCGGATCTGATAATGAATCAGTAGGGGGGGGGTGCGCTAATTGGTGGAGCGATAGTTAGCTGCCGTTCGTGGTATCATCCCCCATTCCTTTCATGAAGTCTCTTCGTGGCGAGAAATAGACGAGTATGGCCGAAGGCCACTCCTTGAGGAATAAATTATGTTCAACTACCACAGCATCTTGAAGTTTGAGCGAAATAGGTGGGGGGGGTGAACTTTTATGTGAGATGGGTTCGGCTTGATGCGCGTGAACGTAGGAGCCCAGGTTAGTCTCCACGAGTGAACTTTTGGTTGTGTTTCGGCATATGTTCCTTCCTGGATGCCTGTTTGTTGAGGGGCCCAATGGCACAAACATGAGCCTACGTGTGTGTGAATTCATTTTGGCTATGCGCTCCTCCCATTTGTACGTTCATACATTTGAGCATCTGGCCATGCTCCCTTAGTCACACGAAACACTACATGGTTGCATACAGGACGAGGGGGGGGGGGGAAAACGGCCTTTTTATTTTTTACACATTTTTGTTCTTCCCAGTAAATACGCATAAAATGGAAAAAACACGATCGTCTTTTTTTTTTTTTTGGTGTCCGTTTTGGTTGCAGCCACCAGAACGGTCGTAATAGCGATAGTGTAACATGAATGTTAGATAGTCCCCCCTTTTGGTGATGCACAGTGTTTTGTCCTGTGTAATCCAAAATGGGAAGGAACTATAGGGGGGGTTGGACAGGGTTATTTGGGGAAATTAGAAAATGGATTTATTCGCACATATATATATGTATATGTATATATGCATATGTATGTGTCCATGCCTGTGATATTCGTTCATGTCCGCACGTATGCCACATGCATGCGTGCACGCATCTCGTCCGCAGTATGGACGCATACGTATGCATATGCAGGTAGGAATAATTGTATTTTTATGGTACCCCTTGGGAAAGGGAAAATGGCATTGAAATAGCAATAAAAGAAAACTGACTGTGATATAAAAATGAGTAAAATTAAATGTCATTTTGCACAATTTTTTCACAATTGTTTTTTTTTTTTTTTACTTTTCCCCTTTTCACTTGTTCGCTTGTTTATATTATGTCCGCGGCGATTTTCCTCCTAAAATTAACGTTTTCCCGTTTTGAAACTTAGACAGGAAAAAAAAAAAAATCGATAGCGGTTCAAGAGTGTGAGAAAAATTCGAAGGACATCTCCCTGCCGCTTTCTGTTCGTGTGAAAATATGCACAAATAGAATAAGTCAGATGAATTCATTTATTTTTTGGATGCATGCGCAAATCTGAACATGTCCATGCGTTTAACTATTGGGGACCCATCACATGTATGTATGATCATTTGAATGAAATTTATATGCATCTTTTTTTCTTTTTTTTTTTTTTATTGTGCATTGCGTAGAGTTGTTTTGAAGAAAGGGAAATGGTTAGTACGATAGACGCATCGAAAATTAAAAGTGCGTCCATACGGGTAGCGGTGGATAGCAGATGAGGTAGCCTCAGCTGTGGTGTTTGTCCCCGTCAAATTGCCCTCTTTTTTTTTTTTTTTTTTTTGCATTCCCTTTTTTATGTTTTAATTTTTTTGTGAAGCATTGGCGCCATTGCACCCCGACTGGCGCTAATTTGTCTGAACCATTTATTAATAATGCCTCTGGACTTTCTCACGGCGTCGTTTTCGAATTACCCTGAGAGAAATAATCCACGTTCATCACTGTCTTTTAACCTTCTTTAAAAGAAGTCGCCCATTGGGGGACTCTCCTTTTTTCCTCTTCTATATAACACATATTTTTGAAACAATAGAGGGGAGAGTATAAATTCCTCAATTTGCTATTCGTCTTTTTTGTGTGTGTGAAACGAGGTCGTTAAAGGTTAGAGCGAGCCTTTTTCGATTTTGTGTCCCATCTCATATTTTTTAGAATTGTTCTGTTGTTTTTTCAAGCTTGTTTTTCGCTTTAAGTTTTTTTTTTTTTTTTTTTTTTTTTTGTAACGAGTGCATGCTTGTACGACGACTGTGTGGGAAGGGCAAAATGAGAAGCTTCATGCATGTCGCCCTGTATATGCTTGTGCTTAATTTCTGCATCTGCCTCATAAGAGCCAATGAGGAACAAGATAACCCAAATGTGCCCGTTGACGTGACACCGCAAAATTCAAATCTGAGGCACAGCAGTAAGGGCACCAATAACTTAGGGAAAAAGAAAGCAGGCAAAATAACAACCCAAGACAGTATATCCAAAAAGGGATCAGCGGACAATAGCAAAATAAAGAAGTTTAAGAAAATATATTATAGCATCCCCGATTTTAATAACAAGGATATAAGCAGCATTGACAAGGGTCATCAGAGCCTACCGAACCAAGGCACGAAAGTAACCCCACAAAAAGTAATAAATAAAAAGGAAAAGTGGGGAAAAAAAAGTAGTGATGGTCAAACGAATCCAAAATGGAAGACACAGGTATATGATAACAATAGATGGACGGGGAAGAGGAATAAGGTTGTGGAACAGGGGGGGAAATCAAATAAAAATGAAAAGAGTACACAACAAGCAAGTACAATACAAGAAAAGGGTGTAACCATGCCGATAGGGGGAGAGCAGATACATGAGACAGGTGAATTGCATGTGCCAAATGCAGAACAGGGAGTAGCACAAGTTGATGTGAATGGCCCCAATGAAGGAGGCACGTCAGACAAGTCCATCAATTATGGAAAAAACGAATCTGAGAATTCAAACCCACAAGTAACCCATCAACATGCTTTGCCAACGGAGATGCCAATCCAAAAGGGGGAAGGAACGACCCAGTGGAACACCAAAGGGATAGATGCACCAGGATACTCGAATGGTGTAGAACCCGTGGAGGGATCGAAAACGCCAATCACCACATCGGGTCTTGAAAGCGAATTGGATCCTTCGCACATTTCGGAGGGGGATCCAAAACGGGAACAAGTAGAAGGAGGAAAGAGTGGAGATATGAAAAATGAGACATCAAAGGAAGAAAAAAAATCTCCAAGTGGGATAGAGGAGGAAGAGGAAGAAGAAGAAGTGGAAATAGAAGAAAAAGGAGTTAATCAGGATGGAAATAAAAAGGACGGCTCTTCAAAAAAAGACATAGCACAACTCTTTCGTGAGCGTATGGGCATTGCGTCTTTAGTAGAAAACATTAAGAGTAATGACAAGTTACAAAAAATGTCTGACGATCTGGTGAAATTTGCGGTCAAAGCATATGATGGCTTTCTCGTGTTCATCGAGCAAATGAAGACTTTCGCGAACAACTTCATGCAGATTTTTCATAACCTTTGAGTGGGAGGGCGCAGTAGTCATTTTGCGTTTCCCAGAGGAGAGCTTTTTACGGTAGGCGCGCTTGGCACGACTCGTAAGGTGATTACACAGATTGCATGGTTAACATGTTGGGACTGCTAACCGTGCTAGTGTTGCTCTTTTTTATTTTTATTTTTTTTTACATACGAAGCAATAGCGGTTTAAATGTTTAATCCAACTTCGCCGCCGCTATATAAAGGGTGGGAACATAGCATGAAGTTTTGCCTTGTGTGCAAAAATGGGGATGCAAAAACACGCTCCGCACTTCAGCTCGTTGGGGAATTACTCCTTGTATATTATTTGTCCTTTTAGCAGCGTGTACAGGGGCATAAACGTACACATAATACATATACGTGTATAATCTCCTTTTTTTTTTTTTTTTTTTCTTCCTTTTCGTTGATAAAAATGTTACAATTCTTGGCACTTCCTTTTTTCGACTCATCGCACTGCAAGCAAAAGAGCATAAAAAAAAAAAAAAAAAAAATGAAAATCGCTGCAATTTTGCACTTTGAGAAGGGGAAAAAAAAAAAAAAAAAAAAAAAAAAAAAAAAAGTTGTTCACACACTGTTCTGTTAGCGCATGTATCCAAATGTAGACTAATGTTACAAAGTACTTTGAATACATAATAATTTTTGCTTGAATAAATTGGGAGGGAGGTTCCCACACCTGTAGGAAATGGTGTAGATCGGGACTCTCTTGTCCGATTGGTTGTTAACACACACGAGTGAACAAGTGTACGTAAGTTTCCATATGGAAGAAAAATTTCCACAAAAATATAATGTTCCCGTTTCACAGAAATTTCCTCCATTGGGGTATAACTGTTGCGTGGGGTGTGTGTTTTCCCAGGTTCGCGAAAAACAATGTGTGAAAAAAAAAAAAAAATCCTTTTTTAAGTCTTGTTGAGATGACGGCTAGGTAGCTGTGTGTTACACACTCGTTTGTATATACCTTTTTCCAGCTGCTAGTTTTTTTTTTTTTAATATTTGTTCGCAAAATGTTGGGAAATTAGTGTAAAAGATAGAGGAACTTGTTTCCATGGTTGAACAATTTGCGCGGTTTGATAGCCCCTTTTCTATTTTCCTATTTTACAACAACAGTGGAGCCGCAGCAATTTAAAATTAGTGCATGCACATTTGTGTTAATTTACAAAAAAAAAAAAAAAAAAAAGAAAAAGAGGTAGCTAATTTAATTATTTTGACCTCTTTGTGTAATTTTTCGTGAGTGCGAATTTATCCGTTTTAATGGATCACCTACGCAGTTGTGCTTGGTTTCGAGTGACACACAAAAAAAAAAGGAGCATATGTTGGGAAAACTTTGGAAAAGAAACGTCCTCATAGTTGCGTCAAATTGACGCCAAAACTAACCCTAATTTTTCCCCGCACAATTTTCGTGCATTAGCTAACTTGTCCATTTTCCCCTTTTTTGAACACTTTGCTCTCCATCTTTTTTTGTATAATTTTGCCAAAGGTACAAGAAAACAATGAGGAAATTTTCCGACCTTGTCATTTTTTACTTAGTCTTCCTTTTAAATTTCTGCCTCTACAAAAACGGCGTCCAAGGTTACGGTGTGGCCAATGAGGCAATACCCAGTTTTAGGAGTGGCGCTTCGAATAATGATCACAGTGAACAGAGGACACAGGGGTTAAACGGACGCAATGGAATTCACCAGAACGTCCATACTTCCCCTAGAAATTATTACGGGGCAGTAGTGGGCTCGAGCGGGACAGCCACAGTCGGGAATTCACACGTAACGGAGAACACCACAGAAGGGTCTGGTAACACAGAAGGAGATGCCGGTAACACGGGTAATGGTACAAGTGGTACAGCGAGTTCTGGTACTAGCGGCACGTTCAACGGAGCGCTCGTGAGGTTATTCTTAAACACTGTAGTTAAGCCAGCCTTAAACTTTGTCATAGGTGGGGAGAACCCTGTGTTTCCACCACCATCGGCAAATATAGAGTCGCAACAACAGGAAGAACAAGGAGTGATAAGTTCTCAACACCCTGGGCCAAACCCTCCGACAGAGGAAGGATAGAACAGCATGATTTATACACAAGCACTCAAACTAGAGCCTGACCAGCAAGCGCACACCTCGATGAAGGATGTGCAGGAAGAGGTTCAGGACGAAATATACGATGACGGGGACGATGACCCTGTTGAAGGAGACACGGACGAGGGTACACACAACGACACTGGCGAAGATGAGGACGAGGATGGAGAAGTTATATATTGGTATGACAGTGAGGAGGAAGTAGAACAAAACATGGAGCAACAGGGATTTAATTCCTTAGTGAATGATGAAACTATACACATGATCCATATACAAGAATACACAGATGTTGATGAGGAGAAAGAAAAGGTTGAAGAGTTAGTTCATTACATGACAAATTCTTTGGAGGAAAATGAGCAATTTGTTGATACGCTTAGCGGCTTCTCAGATGATATAACTATGTACTTAAAAAAATGACCACCTGTTTTTTCGAGATTGGCGCTTCGGTTAAATTTGCACCGTGCGTTCTATGTGGATTTGCACAGGGTGGATTTTGGGTATTCGCGCAAAAGGAACGAAGAGTGGATGGAACGCTATATTGGCTGCTATTATGCACTTCCATTTTATATTATATAACCTCCACCCACAAATGGAATTCCTCAAATAATAAGGTGTAACGCTGAAAATGTAATTTCACATGTACGTAACTTGTGCTGTATGAATTTTGAAACCCCCCGACTTTGCTCACCGGGTGGGAAGTAAATCGCACATGTATATTATTATGTGGCCCATCCAGGCAAGCGCAAATACGCGCGGGCGTAGGGTACGTGGCCACATTCCTATATGCCGCCTATTTATAAATAAGAGGACGCAGTGAAGAAGAAACACATTTAGCGAGTCTTCATAAAGGTGAAAATTCGCAAAAAAAATAAAAAATTCCTTTCATTTTGAAATGCTACATTTTAGATATGTAATAGCTATTATTTTTATTATGTTTTTTTTTTTTTTTTGCATGCGGGGATAAGCATTACGTGGTTTACACCCCTTTGCTTAATTTGCTTAGCTTCATTTGGGACTCCTCACTTTGCCCATAATGACGCATGCGCAGCCAATGGCTAACACATAATTAAACAATGGCCAGTGTGGCTGTTATATTTAGCCCGTTATGGCTGATATGATGCATATGACAAAATTTGCGCATTTGCTAATTTTGTTCATTGCCTATCTCTGTGTATGGTGTCTGATATGTTTTGCTTTCCTAACTTGCTCAATTCAATTTGCGCTTTAAAAGGAATTCTCTTAATTTATTTATTTTATTTTTTTTTTTTTTTCTCGTTCATTCTTTTGTCTTTCGAATGAATTATCGTGTGATGGAAACGGAATCGACTTTCCCAATACTGTTTTTTTTTTTTTGGCAGTCCTCTTGTTTTGGCTTTGTTAACAATTGTTGCTTAACCGTTTGCATTCGTGGAGCGGTAGTACAATGTGTGTAGTTGCCAAAATAGGTGTTTAAAAAAAAAAAAAAAAAAATACATGCGCATAATATGTGCGTACAATTGTGGATACCCTTTTTGAACAAACGAGGTCGCCGCACACGACACCTCTACAACGAACTCATAAACCCTTCAATACACAAAAGAGGTTTGGAAATGTGATTGCGCATGGAGATTGTTAAATAAGATAAGGCTCCGTACATAAAAAGGACGGAGGTTTTGCTGTGGGGAATTATTTTTCACCACTTCGAACGTGCACACGAAGCAGACCTTATGTGTAAAATAAATGGTTAATTAGTTTTGTTGGAGGCACATATACACATTTGTTCATAGTAATGGAAAATAATTCTTACACAAATTACAATTGTCTGCTTGTAACATTTGGTGAGGTAGTCCTTTTTTTTTTTTTTACAAGCCTAGGCGGGGAAGTCGCCAGTTAGGCTTGTTATGTTTTTCGGCAAAGGGTTACTTAGTTTGTGTTTTCACATTCAAAGATGGAGGGGCCAAGGTGGTTGGTCATGTTGAGATATGTCACTAAGGTGCCACACTAAGCAGGCGTACGGAACTTCCACGCGAACGTGAAAAGGTTTCGCGTGTGTAACTGTGTTTCACAGAGCACCCGTTTTTTCTCCTATATTGTTATGTCGAAACGGAGTGAGACTAAAACAGATGATCGGGTCGTTTCGCATACCTTAAGAGAATACACGTACGAGCGTACACCTCTATACATATATGCATGACCCATCGTTGTCGGTTTAAACGAAGCGCGTATTCGTATCATGGTCGTTTAATGCCATTTGTGCGTTGGGCATGGGGTTTGACTTTATGGCGGGAAATTTCCATGTCACATATTCGCTTAAGTTCTTTTTTTTTTTTTTTCTCTCTCTCTCTGCATATATTATTGTTAAATTTGATTGCTGTATTTTGTTATTATTTTTATTTATTATTCTTTTATGTTTTTTTTTTTATTGCAACAATGTGTTGTTATATTTTAGCTTTCCCGTATATTTCTGCACTTCCTTATTATTTTCCACTGTTCCAATTTTATTATTTATTTAATTAATTAATTATTTTATTTTTTTTTTTTTTTAAGATTTTGAGAATGCTAACCCCAGTTACCCCCTACAAAACGAAAGAGAGAATACCATTTTTTCCCGTGCTGCTAAGAATTTTTTTTTTTTTTTTAAGCACCTAAGAACACCGACACCAACAAAAAGAGTCAAGAAGGGAACAGCCTTTTCTTAAATTATCCGCCTCTAAAACATAGAAAAGTGGTTCCTATTTTTAAAAAAGAAATATATAATATATGTGCATATATATGTATATATTATATATGGAGAGAGACGTAATTATTGATTTCCCCCCCCTTTTTTTTTTTTTTATAATTCGCTTCAACGGTTATCCCGTAAAGAATTCTGTTGTTTTTTTTTTTATTTTTGACCATTTTGCTATTTTGTTGTTAAACCATTTTTTTTCTGCTAAAGCATTTTTTCTACCTAAATCATTTTTATAGTGATAAACCATTTTTTTTCTGCTACACGATTTTCCCGCAAAAATATTTTACGGACTCATTGTTGTTTTCTTACCCATATCGTTTCACTGCCTGATTTGTATCACTGCATCCACCCCATTTCGCTTGTTGCTTTTTTTTTTTTTTTTCTAAGTACCCACCATGAGAAATCTACCATATGTTACGTTCTCCTTGGCCCTTTTGGTTTTATCTTCATCGAACAGCGGCATCCTATGTAGTGAAGCTGGAGAGAACAAAAGCACCAATTTGAGAAATGGCTACAGCACATTTAATAGCACATTGAACGAGGGAGACGAAAGCCAGCTGAATGACAAGAACTATGATGATGAAATTTTTCAGAGTCCAGTGGAGGATCTGAACGAAGTGATTAAGAATGTACAAGGTGTGGCTGGAGAAGGAGAAACAATTGATGAGCCAAGTAGTAGTTCCCTCCCTAAAGAAAAAGAAGGAAATATAAGAGGAGTTTCTGTTGGTTCAGGTGATGATGTAGAAACACTTGAAGAAAGTGATATGAACAAGATGTGGGGCACTGGACTATCGGAGGAAAAATCAGAAGGACAAGAGCCACGTGGTGTATCTTCCGTATGGGAACAGATTGATGAGGCATTGCCAACGCCTAATAATGTACATGAATCTCTGAAGGTGAATCCACTTTTATTTGACCAAATTAAGGTTAACGACGAGGATGTGTTGCCAAGTGCAGAGAATGCAGAAACGGAGACCCCATCCAACGAATCACCCGAGAATGATATCACGCAGGAGGAGATAATCGAGCAGGCAAAAGAATTGGAGGAACAATTGGAAGAGGTGATTGAAGAGCTCAAGGAATTAGCGGAACAAAAGGTGGACGAAGTGATGGAAGAGCTCAAGGACGTAACGGAGGAGCAAGTAGAAGAAATGATTGAAGAGCTCAAGGAAGTAGCAGAAGAAGAGGTGCAAGACGTGATGGAAGTGCTCAAGGATGTAACGGAGGAGCAAGTAGAAGAGATGATTGATGAGCTGCAGCAAGACGCGGAAGACCAGTTGCAAGAGTTTATTGATGAGCTGCAGGAAGACGCGGAAGACCAGTTGCAAGAGTTTATTGATGAGCTGAAGGAAGTGGTGCCAGAAACGCAAGTGCCCGAAGCGGAGGGAGAACAAGCACCAGAAGAAGCACAGGAGGAAAACGCAGAAGAGTCCGATGAAATATCGGGCGATGGCTTTTTCGGAGGAATGCACCTTGGAGAATACATAGATATTGCGGGTATTAAAAACAGTGCTGGAAATATGGTGAAGAATGTGATTAGCATGTTCAGTGGAGAGAATGGACTTGTGGGTATGTTCAAGGATTTATCGGCAAATTTTTCTTAAAATGACAAAAATGTAAAAAAAAAAAAAAAAAAAA